AGAGGGAATATAGTCAATAGTATTGTAATAACTATATATGGTGTCAGTTGGTACTAGATTTATCAGGGTGATCACTTTCCAAGTTATATAAACTGCTAATCATGGGGATATACACCTGAAACCTATAATTTTATATCTGAACTATAATTTATAAAGAAAAATAATTCATCCTGTACCACATATCCTTCTGCTTCTTACAGGAAATTCAGCTCCATTATAATATACTAGAGGCACAGTGCATGAAATTAGTGCACTGGGGGAGGGTTGTCCCTCAGCCTAGCCTGCACCCTCTCCAATCTGAGACCCCTTGGGTGATGTGTGACTGCCAGTTTAGGCCCGATCCCACAGGGCCTAAACCGGCAGTCAGACATCCCTCTCACAATCCAGAACTGCTGGCTCCTAACCATTTGCCTATGACCCTGCCTGATTGCCCCTAACTACTTCTGCCTGCCAGCCTGATCATTCCTAACCACTCCCCTGCCAGCCTGATTGCCCCTAACTGCCCTACCCTACTGGCCTGATTGCCCCTAACTGCCCTCCCCTGCCAGCCTGATCACCCCCTAACTGTTCCCCCCTGTCAGCCTGATCGCCCCCTAACTGCTCCCCTCTGCCGGCCTGATTACTCCCAACTGCCTCTGCTTTCACCCCTGCCACCGTGGCTTTGCCTAGAAGGATGTCGGGAAGATGTCCGGTCTAATTAGCATATTACCCTTTTATTAGTATAGATAGAGCCATCTCATTTATGGGTCTGTTATTAACCAAAGCATCGTTATGTGGCACATGACTATATTAAACAAGGAGGATAGCACATTTCTCACCCAAGTTCTTTAATTTGTGATTTCCAAGTTTCTGAACCAACTTTTTTTTAAAAATCTGGTCTTCTTATCCATAAAATGGAATCAACATTTATTTAACCAGTTTAACTTGCATAGTTTTCATGACAGGCCATGAAATAAAGCATATGAACAATTTATAAGTGCTTTACAAAGTATATTTTGACAATCCTAGCTTCTGAAATATGGCTCATGACTAGTATAGACAGGAAGCACTGTGACATGGTCCACTCATTATTCCTTCCTAGAAAGTAAGAACAGTTATGAATCCCCCTTACACACACACACACACACACACACACACATCAGAACACGGAAGCACAGGGATGTTAAATAAATTGTCCAAGGTCTGTAGGTAAATTATCCCAGGGCTATTGGATCTCAAAGTCCATGCTAATAAACTGTACAAAAGAGGTTTTAGCAGTCCATCACCTTAATCACTTAACCACTTCACCCCCAAAAGAGGTTTTAGACAAAGGAAAAATAAAATAACATGTGATGGTTAGTTTTCTAAGATGTATGAATCACAATGTCCTAACAGCCCTAAAATAATAAAAAAGAATAAGAGATAAAGACACTGAGAATGTAAGTGGCTTTCTACGGGTGAAAATGGCACAACCAGAACACAAGCACAGGGGTCTTCTGCTTTCTATGTAAGGGCTTTTCACTCCACTTACTGTTATTCAAAGCAATATTGTTGGACAGCTTTCACAGGCAAGTCTGACATGAGGATTTTTAAATCAGTATGCTTCCTTTAAAACATGACTTATAATTGGACTGTCCCATTAATTTATTTTATGATGATTTTATTTATCTAACAGTCAATGTGACACTATTTCTACATACATAGCTGAGTTGACATATTTATCATTTCTAAAATTTATTTCCACTCTGTCCATCCAACTATAGGTAATTCCATTTTAGTCACTAAGTTTCAACTGAATTGTTGAGAATAGTGTATATTCCTAAAACAAGACAGATAATCCTTTCTAATCCAGTGTCTCATTACAACCAGTAATTTCAGTTTTTGCAAGTTAATATTATGTGGTATAATTTACATAACATAAAATGTACTCTTTTTAAGGATATAATCTGATTATTCTTTATAAATGTCTGATGTAAAATAACACTATCAAGATGCAGAACAATTCCATCACCCCAAAATGTTCCTTCATGCCCTTTGCACTCATGTTTCTCTCCACCTCCTCTTTAGGAAAACAGTGGCTTGCTTTCTATGTAAACACATTAGTTTTTCCTATTCTAGAACTGCATATGATTGGAATCATAGGATATGTATTCTATTGTATATGGCTTATTTCACTCATAATAAAAGCATAATGTTTTCATCAAGGTTGTTACATGTATCACTAATTTGCTCCTTTTTTTATTGCTGAGTAGTATCCCAGTGTATGTATTTAGCACAATTTGATTACACATGCATGAACTTAAAATAGATATTTAGAATGTTTCCATTTATTTAGCATCTTCCTTTTTCAGAGTCCAGAGTGCTAACCATTACACCATGGAAGCATCTTCCTTTTTGAGGACACAGTGGGCCCTTGCTATGTAATGACTCTCTACTTAGCTTCCCAGGATCAAAACTTAAGCACATGCATGAACTTAAAACAGATATTTAGAATGTTTCCATTTTTTTAGCATCTAATTTTTCAGGACACAATGGGCCCTTGCTATGTAATAACTCTCTACTTAGCTTCCCAGGATCAAAACTTATGGTTCTACATCCCAGGCATACTGCCTGGCCACCCTTTCTGTGGCTGAAATGCTACCTCAGCATGTTTCAGCTCATCAGTGTATGGCCCTGGCTTGTAGGGAAGCCCTCATGTGAAATCCTTAAGGCATTTCAGAAATAAATGAATAGATATAAATGTATATGGGAAGAGATATACATGCAATTTCTGATTTCTTCCCTACAATAAGCCTCCCTGTGCCAAGGGTCACAACATTGTGCTGCATACTGGACTGGGTAAGAAGCAACGTAAAAATAAAAACACACTGAGAAAAGTCTTACATTAAAATCTATACAGCCGATTTTATTCTAATGAAAAAATTAATTTAACAAGTAGCCTACATCATACCAAGGAACTGGTGGTCCATGTGTTAAAATGTAAGTTTGCTTTTAATAATAAAACAGTAGTATTACAGCTAATAATATTTAATTTAGATATTTCCTGCATGTATGCATGCTCACACACACCCTGCATGTTTTACTAACTCTGTGTTAATATTCTCTTAAGAAACCAAGGTAATATTCCCATCAGTATTTTTAGTAAATAAATTGATAACTTTGAAAGACTAATAGGCATTTTGTTATTAGTCTATCTTCCATCAACCATATCTATGAAATAAATTGGTTATGTTGAGTTTATTTTGGGACGAGCAATTAAACACATGCTTACAAAGAGCAGTGCCTCTTTAGGCCTTCCTGAGCTCCTCTGTCTTCAGTTTTAACACCCTCCATATTTCATGAATCGCTTTCTTAATTAATTTCTCCTTAGCACGTAACCACACTCTCACACTATCCCAGTCACATATTGGTTTCACCTTTCTCTTCTCACCTTGAATGTGAAGCCATGAGGCAAGGGACCATTGACTGCGTTGACTAAACGCCTGGAGCCTAGAGCAGTGTCTAACATGGAGTAGGTCACCCAGATATATATGCTAAGTGACTGAATGAATGAATGAGATGGAGGAGGATTCTCACAAGAGAGAAATTTAACTAGACAACCTGAAAATAACTAACCTTGGTGATTTAATTTACAAATATTTAAATTAAAACAATATTAATAACAAATAATAACATTGTGGGCTCACGATGTGCTATGCAGTTTCCATATTTTCATTCATGTAATGTTCAAAGGTGTGTAGCTATGTACTATTAATTAATTTATTTTACCAATAGAGGAACCAAAAATATAGGGAAATTTAATACCTTGCTGAAGAAAGGGAGGTTAAAATGCTATCAGACATTCTGAGTCCAGAGTCTGAGCCATTAGTCTCTACAGTATCCCAAAAACCGAATAACCTGAAAAGAAAGTGTTAGATAAGAAAATATTTGATTCTGGTGGAAAATGTTTTCACTCCTAACAGCAGAGCTGCTTCTCAGAGACACATGGCTCCTAGGACATAGCAGATCTGCAGGACAGGGACACGGATCACACTGGTTCAACTTCTCCAAATTCTATAGATTGAATGTATGTATCCCTCCAATACTCATGTTGAAAACCTAAGGCCCACGGTGACAGTATTAGCAGTTGAGGACTTTAGCAGTTGAACTGATCATGAGGGCAAAAGCCTCGTGAATGGGATTCACACCCTTAAAACGGATTCCAAAGCGCTAGCTCACCCTTTTGCCAGGTGAGGTCATGGTGAGAAGTCAGCAGTCTGCAACCCTGTAAAGGGCCCTCACCACAAGCCAACCATGCTGGCACCTGGTTGTGCGCTTCCAGATGCAGAACTGTGAGAATTAAAGTCCTCTTGTTGATAAGCCACCCAGTTTGTGGCATTTTGTTACAGCAGCGTGAATGGACTAAGACACCAACGGTGAGTTTTGGGGTTTCTTTGTTCTGTTTTGTTTGTTTGTTTGTTTGTTTGTTACTTTCTAAAAGGGAAAAAATTTTGAAAGTGGCTGGCTTTTGGGGAAGCCATAATTAGGTTTTGTGAATGTTTAGGTGAACAGAACTGAGGGAGAGTGAAGAAAGAGGAGAGAGGAGAAAGGGAAGTAGAGAAGGGGCCCCAAAGACTCTCAGTTTTCAGAAAGGCAGGGTGAGGGCAGGAAAGGAACTGGGCTTTACTGGTATTACCCTGTCATTTTGCAATCTTAACTGAATTATCTGCCAAAGGGTGCAGAATCCCCATGAGATGGGTGCCAGCAGCTTCTGTCCCCAAGGGGAATAGGCTATCACTGTTTCCTTCTTTTATTATGCAGAGTTGAGTAAACAGGAGGCACTGATAGTAAATCTCTGACTTCAGGCTCTCAGTGAGCACACTGGGTAGCACTGAGGGGAGAGTGAGGGATGTGGGTAGCTCAGGATGACTGAACTGCATGGGGAGGGACATTTTATGGATTAAATCTAAAGGAGGCTGTTGCTGACTTGAGAGGAAAATGAGGCTGTTTAGTGACTTGAGGAATCCTTGTGCTTCAAACAGACAAAGTCCTGAAGGAGAAGAGGATGGTTTTTGTCCAATCAGTGACCGAGGGCACCATAAATGGCTTGTTGGATGACCTATTAGAGAAAAGAGTGCTGAACCAGGAGGAGATGGAGAAAGTAAGACGTGAAAATGACACAGATATGGATAAGGCCCGAGCTTTGATTGACTCAGTCACTCGGAAAGGGGACAAGGCAAGCAAAGTATGTATCGATCACATCTGTGAAATCGACTCCCACCTTGCAGAGAAGATGGGGCTGCCCTCAGGTAAGGTCTACAGCTCGGACCAAAGCCCACTCAGGCCCCGTGTCTGTGCACCCACATAGGATTTCTTCATTGGTCATGATAGTTTGCCGACAACTTCTTTACATCTGGCTTCAGGGCCCCATTTCTAAGTCAGTGGCACTATTGTATATTCCCTGTCTCGTTACTCTTTATTCTTATTCCTTTAGCCTCAGAATCCTTCTAAGAATTAAAACTCACTTCCCATCCTGAGTATATGGTAGCTCAGTTGTTGAAGTTTATGAGAACAGTCTGATAAACTTCATACCACATTCTCTAGTCCCCCTGGCAAGACGCTTTACTTAGTTAGTTAGTTAGTCAGCTAGTTACTTAAGTCTAAGAATCCCTAGAAACTTTTATAGTTTTCTGAAATGAAGATTTAAAGTCTGTCATTGAATAGTCAGACTATAGTTTAAAAAAACAAACACTATGAACAAATTCTTATGCACACTGCACATACCTTATTTTGAAGTAAAAAAACAAAATGGGAACAAATACAATATTTGTATTTGCATGTGGCCTGTGGGCCATAGTTTGAGGACCCCTGCTGTAAACCATTGTGTAAGGCCTGACCTCTACCTCACATGCTCCTGAGGCCCTGATACAAGACAGACAGGCATCTGACCTGCCCCTTCTATCTATAGTGCCTACGGCCCCCACACAGCCGAGATGGGAGCTCTGGCGGACTCTCAACCCCTGGTTTCTTTTATGCTCCCCAAATGCAACCAGAGGGAAAAGTTGTCCTTTGAAAGCAAGACATCTTTTTCTCTGGGACTAGGGGAAGCCTATGCCTGGCTTACTGACACAGCAAAGCTCATCTCTCAGTAACTTCCTGTATCTCTTTTAATACCTTTTTTTTCCCCATTTAACACTCCCCCAAATTAAAGACAATCAATACTCACAATAAGGGTTCAGAATAATTGTATAGTAGCCAACATTTCTTCTTCTTTGCCCCAGTTTCTTCTTTTTCCTTTCAGTTCATAATCCTTGAGTCCTAGAAGCACTTGGACAAACCACTCTAATAAAGCCAACACCTGCAGTCGCCTGGTTGCTTGCCAGCTGATGCCTCCTCAGTCAGGCTGCCATGCCTTTGTCTCTCTCTCATCTACTTGGCAATTGTTTTCCGGGCCATAGAATATGGTAATTCGATGACTTATTTGAATGACTCTAATGGCAGAGATCTTTCTAAAAAAAAGTTCTTGACATGTACACTCCTGCCACCACAAGTTTTCCTCCAGAAAACGTTCTTGAACTTATTGATGGTTAATTCAGTCTAGCAGTCTGGATGGGAAGGATGGGATGAGCTGCAGTCTGTCACCTTGGGCTCAGCATTTTGAGGGACAGCCTATGGCTCTCCCTCATGCAGAGCAGGGAACTGGACCATATTTTGTCTATGGATATCTTGTCTTCAATTGTAAACTATGGGATGAAAACTCAGTGTATTTCACATGTGTAAGCACATGTCAATTCTTA